TCAGCTGTCTCTCACCCCACTGCCGTGTGCTGCTCCTGCCCTCTGCCTTGGAGCTGCTCCCGGGAGCCTCCTGCTTGCTGTGCGGGGGGGAGGGGAGGGAGAGGGGCAGAAGGGTGCTAATGTCAGGGTGTCCCCCTCTCCTCACTCCTGCCCCCCACTTCTGTACCCCATCTCCACAGAGCAGGGGGAAGGGACACGACAGGGCTCAGGACGGAGGGAGTTTTGCTGGCAGCAGCTGCTGTCTCAACTTGTTGATCTACTTAAAAAGGCAATGTACTTAGAGTGCGGTTGGCATACTTAAAGGGGCAATGCGCGTCCCTCTCTCTCACACACACAATGTGTGTGTCTATCTCGCGAAAAAATTTCCCTGGAACCTAACCCCCCTTATTTACATTAATTCTTCTGGGGAAATTGGATTTGCTTAACACCGTTTCACTTAAAGTAGCAATTTTCAGGAACATAACTACAATGTTAAGCGAGGAGTTACTGTACATTGTTTTTGAGTGCAGTTATGTAACCAAAAAAAAAAATCTACATTTGTAAGTTGCGCTTTCATGATAAAAACATTGCACTACATTACTTGTATGAGGTGAACTGAAAAATACTATTTCTTTTATCATTTTTACAGTGCAAATATTTTTAATAAAAATAAAGTGAGTACTGTACACTCTGTATTCTGTGTTGTAATTGAAATCAATATATTTGGAAATGTAGAAAAACATCCAAAATAGAATACCAATTGAAATTTATTAAATATTGTTTAACAGTGTGATTAGAGCTGCGATTAATTGCAATTAATTTTTAATCAATTAATTTTTTGAGTCAATCACATTAGCTAACTGTGATTAATCGACAACCCTAATATTTACAAATAATTTGCATGTAACCATAAATATAAGCTTATGGTCAACACTAAGCAGTAGCTGAAGTAGCGCATGGAGCTGCACAAAACTTGACAGCTGAGGCATGTGCACATGCAGCCCACTAAACAGTGTATATTACTGTTCCCCTCTGTGCCGTAGTCTTAGACAATGTGAGTCTGTTACAGCTATCTTTAGCTCAACCTCAGAGCTTTTAACTCTGTAGGTCCTCTGTTAAACCCTCAGGGTGCTGGCCAAGATGGTGGCCATCACATAAGCAGGGGCACATATAGGAATCAAAGGGCTGTGAGCCTCAGATGCCCAGGATGAGCTATACTTTGTCCAGAGAAAGTAATCCACTGGTCAGTAAATATTGTGAGCCCTCCTTTCACCTTATCCACAAAGAATGAATCTGTTATAGCTTCCAACTATAAAGACTGGCTCTTTGTTTCAAGCTCTGGTTTCAAGCCACTGGTTCAATCCCCAATGTACTGGTCAAGATGGCAGCCGTCATATCTGCTGAGGATGTCTGGGGTGCTAGGCAGATGGGTGGGTACTGGAAGTTGTCTTGATGCTAGGGTGTTTAGGATGGGTGGGTGCAGGAGGCCATCTGCAGGTCTGAGGAGTAGCTAAGTGCTGGTGGGTGGGGTATGCTTTGGCAGAGGTGGCGGTGGGGAGGCTGAGGGAAGGTGCTTGTAGACATCTGAAAGAAACTGACGGGGACTGAGTGTGGGTATCGGTTGTGACTGGATGGTGGGGGAAGCTGGCTGAGGATGGGTGGAAGTGTATGGGGATGTTACTGGAAGGGAGTAGCCAGAGACTGAGAGTGGATGAGTGAAGGGGAAGCTGTGTGGTTGTGTCTGGAGGATGACGGGAGGAAAGCTGGGGAAGTCTGGAGTCTGTAATGGGCCCCTCAACTCCTGTCTCTGCCACTGCCTACTCTGCTTGCTCTTGCTGCTGCTGCCGTCACCACCTCCTCCTGGCTGCTCCTATCCTGCTCAGATCCAGCAGGGTGGGCAGCAAAGGAAGGCAGAGAAGCTGCCTGTTCAGCAGGCACTACAGCAGCCCCTGGTGAACAGCAGCAGCAATTACAGGTCATTCCTGCAGCCCAGCTAAATGCATGGCATGTGACAGGGCTGCCAAAGATGTTTCATGCAAGATGCGTAACACTGGGCAGTCTTGATTATTAATTGTAAGCTCAACTGATAAGAATCAGGAGCACTAGAACACTTTACTTGGGTCATACTAGCCCTTACTTGGTGGTGACTAAACAACATTTTAAAATTTTTATTATGTACATTACAGTAGTGCCTAAAATGTGTTAGGTGTTTGTAACGGTGTTGGAACCCACCTCTCACGAGTGCCCCCTTCCGGTTGGGCGTGTCTGTATTCTTTAGTTCTGGTGACCCCTTTCGGTGGTTCTCAGGCAGGTCTTCAGTGACTCAGCGCTCTGGCCGAATCACTGTCTGCATGTTAAACAGCACAAATCCCTTCCGGTGTATACGGTTCACCCACTGGTGCCTATTTCAGTACCCCTCTGGTGGTGTCTCTCTCTCTAGCCCTCCCTAGGCTTTGGTCTTTAAGTAGTCCAGCCCTGGTATGTGGCTGTATCCCCAGGGCTTCCTCCCTGGAGACACTATCTTCCTGCAGCCCTCCCCAGGCTCAATCCCTACTCAGTCCTAGCAACCAGCCAGGAGCTCCCTCAATGCTTCCCCAGTCCCTGCTAGCAAAACGTATGGGACCCTGCTGCTCTTCCAGGCAGCCAGGCCTGCAGTCCTTTCTTCTCCTGCTCCAAGCCGCAAATAACTACAGGCAGTCCTCAACGTTACGACGTTAAACTTACAACGAATGGCACTTACGACATTTATAAATTGTCATCATGTTTCGACTTTATGATGTCGGTTTCGACTTTACAGCGCTCGATCCGACATTGTTCCTATGGAAAATTCGAGATATGACGTTTTCAACTTAATATTCAGGAACCAATTGTGTCGTAAGTCCGAGGACTGCCTGTACTGCTGTGCAGCTCCTTTCATATAGTCCTCCTGGGCCCTGATTGGCTGCTTCGCCTGCAGCCACTCTAGCCTGCTTGGAGGACCTCTCCACTGCTTCTTTCCTGATATGGGTGTGGCAGAACCCTGAGGCCTCCAACAGGGGGCCTTTGGGCCTAGTTCACCCCATCACAGTGTTGTACAAATATTTGTGTTAATACACTCCAAGGCTGGCTTAAGAATGGTAAAAAGTTCCTGTCCATTAAACCCTACAAACTTATTTCCCTTTAATTGAGCAGAGGTATGAGAACATTATGGATAATGGATTCAAAGTAGATGTGAAAATGCCCAGAGAAGTGAAACTTTTTGAGGTGAGCAAATTCTCTCTAGGTATTTACACTTCACTGCATACCTCATACATTTTAGCTTCTAACATGAATTTGGAATTTCTAGGCTCACAGAGCAAAGTATTCATTTGACATGCTGAGATCCCAGCTTATCTTAAATATAAGGCATAATTAAAATACGAAGTCCTGAAGTTAAGCTAGGTACCAACTCCCAGAGAATAAGGTCATTATTAATTCAATGTGCCCTTTTGTTTACTCTCTTAAATGCATACAAAGTGTTTACAAAAAAGTGCTATTCATATAACCCTTTGGATATATAGTGTACATAATGTATAATGTTCATTCAAACTGAATGGCAGAGTTAGAAGGTTTGGTAAATAAGTGCTTAGTGCAATACAGTTTTTAAAGAGGTCTCCCAGCCTCCATTTACTGAAGAGATCAGGAAGCTCCTTATATCAGGGACATAAGTCACCATTCCTTATTTAAGCATAAACGCCTTATAGGCTTGTTCTCATGCAATATACTGTACATCAGCCCTCTAAGAACATATAGGCTGGTTGAATCATATGTTAGTTGTCTTAATTCTCTGCCAGTTTTGCCCCATTTTCCTAACCCTGACAGTTGGGCCTGGTCTACACTACGACTTTAATTCGGATTTAGCTGCGTTAATCCGAATTAACCCTTCACCCGTCCACACTACAGAGCCAGTTAATTCGAATTAAAGGGCACTTAAAATCGATTTCTGTACTCCACCTCGACGAACGGAGTAGCGCCTAAATCGATTTTGTTAATTCGAATTAGGGTTAGTGTGGCCGCACACCACCGAATTACTGTGGTTAAATTAATGGGGTAGTGTGGCCGCACACCACCGAATTAATGTGGTTAAAAACCAAATTAATGTGCTTAGTGTGGCCGCGCACAATCGAATTTATACAACCTGTTTCCCAAATTCGAATTATCTAAATTCGGATTAATCCTGTAGTGTAGACATACCCTTAGTCTACATCAAATATTTCATTAGCTTTTACCTCACACAATCTGAATAGATTTTTAAAATTCATACCTGAAAGAAACTACGAGGGTCCATCTCAGTGGGACCAAATCACAAAATTGAACTGTTATTTGAGAAGTCTGAGTTTGTCAGGAAAATGAATCACAAGACATGGGCCAATACAAAAAAGGTGTTAAAAACTGTACTGTCAGATAATTCCTTACTCACCAATTGAAACTGATATTCTTTTAAGTTATAGGTTTCAGAGTAGCAGCCGTGTTAGTCTGTATCCGGACAACTCCCACCTGTTCATGCTCTCTGTATGTGTGTATATATATCTCCTCAATATATGTTTCACTCCATATGCATCCGAAGAAGTGGGTTGTAGCCCACGAAAGCTTATGCTCTAATAAATTTGTTAGTCTCTAAGGTGCCACAAGTACTCCTGTTCTTTTTAAGTTATAGTTTACTGAAATAACATTTTGTTTTGCAGAAAAAATAAACTAGGAAAATCAATTTCCAGTGGAATATTTGCACATTTGGTCAGGGAAAGGAAGAATCATTTCCACAGATAGCTCTGGTATGGAGTTTCCCTTGCCAGGGTGCCATCTTGTCTCATTTTATGGCCTCATAATATGCACTGATTTATAAGCCTAATTTTTTTAGTCATATGTTACCCTGGGCACAGAAAACTATCTTACATGTATAATATGATATTACAGTTGTGAAATGGTGTCATTTTAAAGTATGAACTGCAATGTAAAGTTAACCCATGCAATTTATGCTGCAGCACTACATGGATGCTACTTACCTGGTTGTGGTTCTGATGGTGTTATCTTTAGTGTGATTGTGCTCTTTGCTCACCTTTTCTGCAGAAGAACAAAGATAATTTAAATTAGCATGAGTAACCCATTTTTTCAGATTTTTAATTATTTTATATGCTTGCTGGTTTATACTACAATACAGGAAAACTTTTATCCAATAATTAGAATGAGCTAAAAACACTAGAATCATTTTTATTTTAAACTGTAACTATCCCAATATTTGCCTTGCTTCATATTTTAGCATCATTATTCACAAATCTTGCATTTGTTCAATTTATGGCAATGAAAACCTTTCTGTGTTCTCCGCTGCTTGCCCCTTCTGTGAGTGGGAATCTGTAAAGCAGCCAGAAGAACTATTGATGCTGCAGCCACCAGGTGCTTATTCCAATAGATGTCGTCCACAGAAACCCTCCTTTACTTTATTTTCAGATCTGTATCTACCAGCTGTCAGGAATTATTTAATTAGCTTTCAAGACACAAGAGCTGAACTCTGGCTTTTCCAAAACAGTTAAAATGTTATGAAACTGCCCTGACGGACAACACGCAAAACCATATTCTAAATCAGTGGTGCCCAAATTTGTTCCGCCGCTTGTGCAGGGAAAGCCCCTGGCGGGCCGGGCTGGTTTGTGTACCTGCAGCTCCCATTGGCCTGAAGCAGCGAACCGTGGCCAGTGGGAACTGCGATCGGCCGAACCTGTGGACGCGGCAGGTACACAAACCGGCCCGGCCTGCCAGGGGCTTTCCCTGCACAGTTCAGCAGAACAAGTTTGGAAACCACTGTTCTAAATAGCTAAAGAATTCTTGGCCAATACTATGGGGAAGCTTTTGAATTTCAAATGTAAGGCGTAGAAGAAAGTTTCACATTTCTATTATTTTCTATACCATACTAGACTTAACTTTGTGTAAAATCAGAAAAATGTTAGTGATCTTCTTTTGTTCTTTAAATTCCACTTCCAAAGAGCACTGTGGCAGCTATATCTACTGTCTTTACCTGACAGTTGGAAGAGCAGCTCTGAAGCCATCTTCACTGATATATCCTGGCTGAAGAGGTTTCTCTCCGGGAGCACTCGGCCCTCTGGTACCTTTTGTATGTGTTCAGTAATCTCTCTCCCTAATAAAGTGCTGTAACCAACAGTCTGGCTGGGTGAAACTGAGGGCTGGGACTCATGAATGTCAACTTCCATTGGTTCTTCTTTAATCTTTACCATCTGGGTTTCCTTGTAACTTTCAGCTGCAAATATGTTTTAAAATAAACAAAAACAACAAACAAAATTGTTTAATTCAATTAAAAATTGTCAAAGCAAGTCAGGAGGAATAACAAATACTAGTTTTACATATTACTAGGGTATCAGCATAAACAGGACTGAAAGCAAGTAGCTGAGTATAGTGGTACTGGCCTGGTTTAGATCTCTGGAGGGGAGAGGGGGAATTACTATCCACCATATCCATTTTGATTGAATTGGCCTCGTTAGCACTACAAAGTAATTTTCCCTCTGCTGATACTCAGCCCCTTTTGTCAACTGTTGGGAATGGGCTACATCCACCCTAATTGAATTGGCCTTGTTAGCACTGACCCTCCCACCTGGTAAGGCAACTCCCATCTTTTCATGTGCTGTATATTTATACCTGCTTACTGTATTTTCCACTTCATGCGTCTGATGAAGTGGGTTATATCCCACGAAAGCTTATGCCCAAATAAATTTGTTAGTCTCTAAGGTGCCACAAGGACTCCTTGTTGTTTTTACTGATACAGACTAACACGGCTACCCCTCTGAAACCTATCTGAATTATATTCATGAGACTATTTTTCTAAACAGAAATGGGAAGATAGCCCAAAAATGTATTTTTGTTTTTAAAAAACTATAGTTATTTAATTTACTGTCTGTGGGCACTGATTAATCAGTCATAGTCTAATTGGCCAAGGTTTTTGGTTTTTTTAAATGATGTCACAGCTGTACACCAATTCCCAAAGGTGCACGAGCTGAAACCTTATCTCACACACAAAGTTATCCTATGCACATGTTAAGAGCAAATATATTAGGAGGAACATTTTTATGCCTCCTCTTTCTTAAAACCCATTTTCTATAACAGGCATAGGAAATTTCTCTTAAAACACTACAAACCCATAGTACTCTTCCTGCTCGACTCTCCAAGTCCAATTTTCCCCTCTTCTGTCTTCTTCCCCAGTGCCCTAAAACTTGGCCTTCTAAATTAAGAAAATGAGGTGATAATCTAAAAACCAATTCTCAGTTCAGTCTTCTACAGTGTAGGTACACCTAGATTATTCTTAAATGCTGCGATGCACCTGCAGGGTGAAGTGACCATATCCCCTTGAAATACTGGCTCCCGTCCATTTCAAAAGGACCTCAAAGGCTGCACTTTAAGGCAGCTTGATCATGGGATACCAAAATACCTATAAAGCAGGTGGGCTGCTCTGAAGTGTAATTTTACTTTAAGAACCTGAACTGAGAGTTGGTTCCAGACTTCCACTTCAGTTTTTTCAATTATAAACAAAGTTTAAAGGAGAGTGGAAGGCCCTAAGGAGTGTTTGGTTTTGAAACACCTTTTAGTTTCCACATTATTAATTATAATTTTAATTTTTAAAAAATCAAAATCAGAACAAATCAACATTTCAATGTTGTCCAGATTGAATGATTTGACTGACCAGATACATTTCTCCCCCCCCCCCTCAATTTAGACGCATATCCCTACTGGCTTGCCAGAGTCAGCAGCAGATGTAATGCCCATTTCTGACAGAAATAGAAGTAGTCAATGGCTTTCTCAAAGGTGGTAATCAACCACCAGGAAGCATGAAATACTGTGATCTAGCTTCCAAAAATCAATGGTCGATGCCCACATCATCAACTACCATCTGCTCTCAACCCCGTTTTTCCTGGGAAAGAGAGAGTGAACTGGCTCTAGCAACAGCTGACCTCTTCCAACCTGGCTTCAGGCCAAGTTACAACCGGCAAAGCATTGGTAACACGGACGGACAACTTCACAGAACTGAACAGAAGCAAAACAACAACGTTGATGCTCTTTGATGTGAGTTGCTTTTGACACAATCCACCACGAGGTGCTGCTTCACCTACATGTCCTGGCAGGAGTGGATTTAAATTGTGTTTAGCTAACTGTGCTCTTTCCTTTCCTTATGATCACCTAGAGTGATGATAGGCAGCTGTTACTCCATCATTAGACCTCTGACATACAGTTTCACAAGCCTTAATTCTGTCACCCTTCTTGTTTAGTATTAGAGGACATCATGAGATAAATATTAGCCATGATGACAGCAATAGATTTGATAATATGTCTCTCTACCTATTTAGATATTTATATAGTCCTCATCACCATGGTATCCAAGCACCTCACAATCATTAACGGATTTTTATCTTCACAATACCCTGGTGCAGCAGGGAAGTATTATTTCCATTTTACAGATGTGGAACTGAGGCAAAGGGTAGATAAGTGAATTGTCCACGTTCACACAGGAAGTCTGTGGCTGAGCCAAGGACTGAATCCTGGTCTCAAGTGCCCTATCTACTAGGCCAGTCTTCCTACATAAATGCAGCTTTGCAGCTCTAACACTTAGCACAAAGTGGCCCAGATATTTTAGCATATGTAGGAAATTAGAGCCTGGATAAAGAACAGCTGGCTCAAATTGACCCCTGAACAAACAGAAGTAATACTAATTAGAAGAGAGAAACTCTTTGAGGAACTAGTAAATCCACTTCCTTACCATCTGAAGTCTGGTAGCTAACATTTTGTAACATTTAGTCATGCTAGATTCATGACTAACACTGGACATCCAAACAGTGGCAGTAACCAAAAATGCTGCCTTCCTTCTCTGGCTAGCATGAAGACTTTGTCCATTCCTTTCAGATGATGAAATCTGTCTCAGCAGTCCATGCATTTGTCAGCTCCAGTCTAGAATACTATAACTCCCTATGTGGCTCTAGATAAAAATTCAATCTGCACTGGCTCTTGTTCACTTCCAGATTCACTTCATAGTCTGATGCTGATCTATAAATCCCTTAATGGGACAGGGCCACACTATCTCAGTTATTACACTGCATTCCAAAACCGGTCAAGGCAGCTATAATTGTCCAGCACAGGGTACTGGGAGAGCCCTGGTCTTCCTACATCAGCATTCCAGCCTTTCAAAGATTCATAGAGTTTAAGGCAAAAAGGGACCATTAGCTCATCTAATCTGACTTCTTGTGTATTGCAGGCCATTAAATTTCACCCAGTTATCCCTAACTTGTAATCTCCTCAAAGAATGAAATCAAGTTTATTTGATGTGACCTATTTTCCATAAAACCATGTTGACTAGCATCAATTATATTACTATAACTTAATTATTTACCAATTGAACCCGTTATTAGCTTTTCCATTAAATTTGCCTGTGACTGAGATCACACTAAACCAGTCTATAGTTACTTGAATCATCCCACTTGCTCTTTTTGAATACTGGAAAAACATTAGCTCTCTTCCAGCCTTCTGTTAAGAATTAACAGCAGCAGCCCAGAGATCTCCACAGCTAACTCTTTTAGGACTCCTGAGTGCAAGTTATCTGGGCCTGCTGATTCAAAATGTTTATCCCTAGTAGATGTTTAACATCCTCCTTAGTTACTAATGGACTGAAAAGTACTTCATCTTCCTCAAGTGACAGGCGTACATCAAACTGCTTCTTTCTGAATACAAAACAGAAATATTTATTGAACAGTTCCTGCCTTTTCTGCATCATCAACAATTTTACCTTCTCCACCTAGTAATAAGCCTATACCATTGCTAGGATTTCTTTTGCCCCTAATGTACTTAAACTCCTTCTTATAGTCCTTATTGCCAGCTATGGATTTTTCCCTGTCATTAGCTTCCCTTATCAATTTTCCTCATCATGAATTCTAATTTATGCTATTTCCTATTTGTTGCCTCCTTTTTCCATTTGTTAAAATAAATATTTCTAACTGTTGCTTTCACTTTGCCACTGACCAGGGTGGGCTTTTAGCCAAAGTTGTCCTCTCCTCTTTCTTGATTGTAGAATCATGGCTTTTTGATCTAATAAACTCTTCTTACAGAACTTCCAATTTTTGTCCAAATTTTCCTGTCTCAATCTCAATTTTACCTCCCAATCAATTTCATTCATAATTTTCCTCTGTCTTTCCTCATTGTCTGAGTTCACCAGAGCACCATGGTGAGCTGTGTGCGCAGTGTGGTACTAATAGGCATTTGTGGGTCAGAATATTAATTGGTGTAGACAGTAGGAGATCATAGCTGCCACTAATCTGTTCCCGGGGGAGGAGGAGGATACAGCCTACTAGTGAGGTTTGGAAGGGTAGGCAGTTCCTCTTTGCCAATCTTTTCTTCAAAATGTAAGGATATTAGGGATGTTTTTAAAAATAAAAACAACCACCCTATAGCTGTTTCAACTTCAGTTCACCAACAAAAGTTCACTGGTTCAACTAACTTCACTTGGTAGTTACTCTGATTCTGCCTCTGTTTCCCCCTGTGCCAATGAAGGATGTGTTTACATAGTACCTTCCTTGATTTCCATTTTTCTCTAATCTTGGCCATCAAATCTTCAAGCTTTGCCATGCATTTTGTCCTGAATTCCTAAATATTTACAGAATATTGTAAGGTAGAATAACATGATTCAGCCATTCATGATGTCATGCAACCCCAATATAGTTCTAGTGTTTTTATGTGGCTTTAGTACAAACATTAAGTTTTCATAGAGGAACCTTTTTCATGCAAGATCAAGTTGACTTATTCACCGATTCCTGTGTATTTCCCTAGATTGTGAAACTGGAAGGGGAGATTGTTTGTTTTGGGGTTTTTGTTGTTGTTGTTAAATGGAGAAAATAGGCTTTATTATTTGCAGCACTAATAGAAATGAAGCTAGCAGTTAACAGCTACTTGGGAATGTTCCAAGAATGATTTACATGAAGTGTTTTCTATTATTTCTTATGACAATCTTTGTGCATTTTTTGAAAAAATGCCAAACTGATAAAAATCTCCACCATTCACGATCTACCTGATTTATTTCAGACTTAAGAACATTTTATATGAGTTCTCAATGGAAAGCCAGGTAGAAATATTATAATTCAATACTATTTTTTTCTCTATCAAGCATATTTCTTCTCTTTCCCTAAAGCTTCTCTCTTCCTCTTATTATAAGCCATAGAAAATTGTATCAATGGTGAAGGGTAAAAAATAAAATATAGTGCACTGAAA